TCATATTTCAGTAAAGCGAATGATATTTCGATTTCACGTGAAATTCTTGATTAATATAATATACACATTATCGGTGTAGTATCTCGATTATGACTAAATCGTGCGTGGCTACAAATTGCAAAAGATTGATCAATACGGAATTGGCAACGCGTCTCATAAAATCGCGCCACCTCGCCAGTGTTGCTTGTTAGAGCCTGCCAAATAAAAGTCGGTCAGTTTTTTATTATTTATTTATTGCACTTAAAAATTTTCCTCTTCAATAGAATTCACTGTATTTTTCATCGCGTCGAATAATTTCTATCTGCAATTCATTTTACACGCTAAATTCTTTAAGCACTCTTGTCGTTTCGCAGGTAACTATTATTTTTCTTCTCTAACGTTTGGTATAATTAGATTTTTTTTTTCGATAATACGAGAAGGAAGTTATGTGTATATAGTGGAGGTCTGGTTCCTGTAATTTGTGGAGTATTTGTTAATTTCTCCAGTCATGATTTTTTATGTTACTGGACAGTTTTTTTATGATCGGTTGAGTTTGGTTTCTTTATAATTTTTGTTCTTTTTATATTTAGGGATCGATCGTCAGATATTTAAAGGGTTTCTTTTTTCTTTTTCTTTTTTTTTTCTTTTTAATATAACTCGTGATGTTTATAACTGATCATTTGGGGTGATATTTCAGATGTTTATACTTTAATGGATTTTGTAGTTGTTGATTTTGTAATTTGTGATAATGTTGCTGAAAAGTTTCAAGGGTTTTGAAAATCTGTGTTTAGCACGAGTTTGTTTGGGCAGCTTAACATTTTTATTTAGTAGTTGATTGTAGTGAAACAAGGAACACGAGTCCTAGAATTGAAGGGTTAAAGAAATGATTTCAACCATTTGGATTAAGAATTATCTTTATTGAGCTTAAGAAATTTTAGGAGTTTGATACTACAAGATATAGTTTTTAAATGGAACGATCATGAGGCCTGATTCCGGATATTGGGACTAGATTGTTGTGTAGAAAGATGAAGAAAACAAAAAAATAAAATTGTAGTTTAAATATGCATATTTGGTTGAATGGGGTGAATTAGTTTAAATGCTTCTTTTGTTTCCGTTTTGGGCGTTGAAGGAATTTCATTAACTGATATTCATTTCTTTCTGGCCTTCCTTCTTTCTCTTTTGATGCTCTAGTTGTGCCTGGCTGTAGCTTGTTTTCTAATCTCCATTCATCTGCTGATTATCCTCGAGGATTAAGGAATATGATGTTTCAACATTCTGGAAATGAAAGTGCAGATTAGTCATATTGTTGAAATAGACATATTTTAAGAGCTAAAAATTTGTGCAGTGGTGTTAGTAATGGACTTTGGCAAGAGACAAAATGATGGCGCAGACGCTTAAATTATACATTTTTGTTAGGCACCTGATGTTAGTAAAATGAACTCGAGATGCTATACATGAGTAGTTAAAGCAAGTGAATGATTGGAAATTTGAGTTATTTCACGGAAAATACTCTTTTGTATTGAGCTTATAATGGTATCTCACGACTTTTTTTTGGGAGTTCCAATATTTATCCTTTTATTTTCTTTGATGGGTACGGTTCGACATGTGCATGGGATGTGTGTAGGTTTGCAAGGATTTTGATGAAAAAAAATTCAGAAAATGTGTATTGTGATACAATTGTTGTCGTAAGAGCTGACATTTTCCTAATTGCGTGACAAGTTTTCCTAGAGTTGTTCTTTGATATTTGTAAGTTGCCGTGTTAATTTTCAGGCATTTAGCAACTAGAAAATGGAAGGAGGCAGGGATCCTTTCTTTGGTTTTGGTAAACCTTTTGGTAATTTTGGTGGATTTGGAGGTCAAAGAAGCCTAATGTCAAGCTTTTTCGGCGGGAGAGACCCATTCGATGACCCCTTCTTCACAAGCCCATTTGGCAACATGTTTGAGTCAAGCTTATTTGGTTCCACTGGTAGTCCATTTATGGATTCACGTGCTCCTGGATTTCTTGAACATCAGTCCCCACACCCCAATAGATCTAGGGGACCAATTATTGAAGAGTTGAACTCTGATGATGAAAATGAAGGAAAAGAAAGCGGAAAGGACAAAAAGGATAATCCAAGAAAGCATGGAAGGTCTAGCATAGAGCCTCTCATTGAGGATCCAGATGATGAAGCATCTGGTGAGTTGTGTTTATTTAGCTTGAGGGAGTTTGGTAACATTACTTTGATCTTTAGTGTGTTTTGATTGAAATGGATATATGTATGATTGTTGCAGAGAGAAAAAGTAAGCAAATGACTCCTAGAAATGATATTTACCAGATGCAAAATGTAAGGCCGCGGCCCCAAACAAGCAGCTTCAGTTTCCATAGCTCCACTACTACTTATGGTGGTGCAAATGGTGCATATTACTCTTCATCTAGAACAAGGAGGACGGGTAGTGATGGAGTAAGTGAAATTCAAATTAAATTGATTCTCTTTTTAAATTTTCTATTGGGCTTGGTTGTTTAATTCTGCTCTATTTATGTATTTGGTGGTCTACAGTTAACAATGGAAGAGCGCAAAGAAGCCAATTCATCTACAGGTCAAGCATCTCATATGCTGTCAAGAGGGATACATGAGAAGGTGTCATCTCTGGTTCTTTGATGTTCTTCACGTCTCATTCTTCCGCTTATCTGAGTTGTGACTTTATACATTATCATCTAGTGCCTGAGGTAAATATTTTAATTGTGCTGTAGGGTCATTCTGTGACACGAAAACTGAATTCAGATGGTAGGGTAGACGCAATGCAAACCCTTCATAATCTTAACGAAGGTAGCATATTACTCGTAGGTGATGTTTTTGTGTAATTATCAGTTCATTGTCAACTAATTTTGTTCCCTCCTTTAGATGAACTTGTCAGTTTTGAGGAAGCCTGGAATGGAAAAGCTAGACAACATCCTGGCTTGAGCCAAGGATTCAATTTGCAAAGTGTTATGGGTAAGTCATTTCTAACTCCTTAACAATTGGATATGTTGTTTTAAGGGATTGGTCCCGTTTTGACAATGTTGCGCGATTTCAATATTATTTTGTTGACGCTCTCTGCTTAAAGATTTTGTTGGTTTGTTCTTTAATTAAATATTTTTCATTTTGTTTCTGGTACTGAAGGATGCATATTGTGTAACTACCCAATCAAAAAAAAAAAAATCAGTATTTCAGTTAATTAGGTGGATAAAATAACAAGCAAAAGGAAAGAGAATTTCATGTTTACTAAAATAGTGATGTGAGTCATCGCTTCCGCGGGCAGTTATGCGGTTGGTGGCAAACTGACAATTGCCTTGTTCCATCAATATATTGTAGTAAAGAGTTTTTTGTTTGGACCTACTGGTAGCTGATAGAACGTCAGAATGTAGATATTTTCATATACTTGTATGAAATTGAAATTTATGCTATTTAAACCTCTTCTTTTGGCGTCTAAATTTTTGAGTACGTAACAGTTTTTCTTCGATAAACTACTAGCACGTAATGAATATGTCTCTCTAATTTGCTCTCTTTTGGACTACATGGTAAGAGGTTAAATATTGATGTCTGTATCCAGTTGGACGCAGTGAAATATATCCTAATCACTTATTATTGTTATTAAATTTCCGACGACGTAAAACATCATACATGCTTGTTGGTAACTGCTTGATTTTAAATTTCCATTTGGGGGTTGGGGGTGGAAGGGGGATAGTTAACACCATATCTTGATTTGGTTTTGGTCCCTGCTTTTACTGGCTCGAAATGGAATGATACTACAGCACTCTGTTTTTTGACTTATCAACTAAGGGTTGAGTGGAAATAACCTTTTCCTGTGTGAAATACTTAGGATCTGGAAGCAGTGCTCAGCATGGGCCAAACAGGGGAGGTTGGGCACTTCCTTCGACTCAAACCTCAAACTACATAGGGAGCACAAATCCAAACATGGGAGATGGGGTGGGTCCATCTCGTTCACAACAGTCGGGAAGGATGAAGGCAGATATTGGTTCATCACGGGGTAGATCAAGAGTTCGTGATGCCAATGGTGTAGATCCAGCAATGCGGAGTTAGGATGCTCAGGGGATGCTCTTTCAAGTTTTTGAAATATGTTGAATGGGTGGCCCTAGTTTCACCGTCATGAGACCAGCAATGAGGCGTTAGGATGCTCAGGAGATGCTCTTTCAAGTTTTTGAAATATGATGCATGGTTGGCCCAAGTTTCAACGTCCTGAGGGTCTTTTAAGAACTCTGTTATGAATTAGTAGAAATGCTCTAGTGAAATGCTACATTACTATTTCTATTCTGTCGAATGCTGACTGATTGATGATGATGCATGAATTAGTATGTATTGAGTGAATTAATAAAGAAATCATTCAAGAGGGAGAGGTGTAAAAATGGTCTGGCCATGCAGGCCTGGGACGCAACGTCAGTTGGAACCTTTTTCTTGAATGGATTGACAATTAAAACAAAATATAGGTCAACAGACATCTGGGCTTGCCCTGCAGCCTAAGATTCGGCTGATAAAAATAGGGGAAATTAGGACAGGTTTCTCTAACCTTTAATATGGTATGGTTATGGATTCTTATTTTCAAAAGCGAGGTTTTTGGTCCTAGACCTATTTAAATTTAGGAATGTAGATTCGTATGTGATCAATGCCAATATGCTTGGTAAAATATCATGAGACTTTAATAATGTTACACTGTCGGATAGGTCAATGGAAATATTGACATAAAATCAGTTAGCTTTTTCATTCAATTATCAGTTGTCACCTCCACTTCTATCACTATATATGTATATGTCAAAATCCTTATGGCAAAGTGGTGATAAGTGTATTTTCTACACTTATTTGGGGCTTAAAACTATATAGTTTTATTGATTTTTTGACAAAATTTTACATAAATTATGTTATATTGCATTGTGTAGGTAAAACTTTATATTTGATGAAGAATTGGAGAAAAGACGCAATATATGGTGAAAATGGAAAAATCACCAGCAATGAGGCGTTAGGATGCTCTTTCAAGTTTTTGAAATATGATGCATGGTAGGCCCAAGTTTCACTGTCCTGAGGGTCTTTTAAGAATTCTGTTATGAATTAGTAGAAATGCTCTAGTGAAATGCCACATTACTATTTCTATTCTGTCGAATGCTGACTGATTGATGATGATGCATGAATTAGTATGTATTGAGTGAATTAATAAAGAAATCATTCAAGGGGGAGAGGTGTAAAAATGGTCTGGCCATCCAGGCCTGGGACGCGACGTCAGTTGGAACCTTTTTCTTGAATGGATTGACAATTAAAACAAAATATAGGTCAACAGACATCCGGGCTGGCCTTGCAGCCTAAGATTCGGCTGATAAAAATGGGGGAAATTAGGACATGTTTCTCTAACCTTTAATGTGGTATAGTTATGGATTCTCATTTTCAAAAGCGAGGTTTTGGTCCTATACCTATTTAAATTTAGGAATGTAGATTCGTATGTGATCAATGCCAATATGGTTGGTAAAATATCATGAAACCTTAATCATGTTACAATGTCAGATAGGTCGATGGAAATATTGACATAAAATCAGTTAGTTTTTTCATCCAATTATCTGTTGTCACCTACACTTCTATCACTGTATCTGTTAAACTTCTTATGGCAAAGTGGTATAATCCATGAAACTTTCGTGTAAGGCAAAATTATTAGATCACTCAAGTTTATGTCTAATTTATCCTAAAGTTGTATGTGATTTTTACGTCAACATTGACTGTTTCAGTTGCTGAAGAGTTAAAATTCATTGTAATTTTATTTTTGAAGGTTGTGATTCGTAACCACGCAACTTGGAAGGATTGGGTTGTTCAGTCAATTTATAAATGAGACATGTCTGGCATGGCCCAACACCAGAGGTAGCTATTTCGACCGAAGTAAAAGACATGTTGGGTTTAGCCTGACTCATATTAGTTGGTTCTGGCTTTCTGCAGTCTAAGAATATTGTGTGTAACCTGAACTCCCAATGTACTAATGTTATGGCAGTACATGAAAATTTCAATGACCCAATCCAATTAATTTGTAGTGCTAGACCAGGTCAGGCTATTCTCGGTCGACGCCCCACTTATCCAAAGATAAAAAATATTGGCAACCTAGCACTATTTGTGAAAAAAAAATTTCTTCATCGGTTTCAAGTTAAGCATTCTTAGTCGATGTAACAACTCAATAGTACCGTCAAACAGCACGACCTTGTCAAGCCGAACTAATAAAGTTATATGGAAGTTGTTAGCTTACAACTGAAGGTAGTTTATCTTAATCTACATGTTCATTCAAATTTTCTCAAATCTACACACATCAAACCAAACCAAGAGAAGGAACAAAAAAATGTTGTAAATATGCACATGACAGCCAATCTGTCTCTTTAGAATTCACTTCCGGATGACAAACTCTTCACCTGACTCTCGATCAATACGTTTGATCCACCGTTTCTCACCCTTTCCGGAGGCAGCGCCTCCACCTCTCGCCCCCACATGTGCAATATCCAACCCCTTTCCCACCGGCAAAAACATTGACCGCACAATCCTCGAGTCACCACCTACGACACTTCGCCACCTAAAATCTGATGCCGCTCTTGAATTTGCATTCTTGCATATGAGCACAGCACCCCTCTGGCCAAGTTTCGCCACCCGAAGGATTCTCCCGAAGTCGTTCCGCCTGCAATCCACCACCAAAAAATCTATGCCAACTAAACTTTCCACCACCTCCTCTGCCTCGCCAACGATGATATGGGACGACATACCGGCCTTTTCCATGGCTGCAGCGTACTCTACCCTCGACTCTTCATCAGGGGCTATGCAAATATGCCTGCCGCCGCCATGGCAGCTTGCGATAGAGAGACCGACACTCGTCGCAATTGCCCCACCCTGCGACCATGTTTCTACTATTAGCTTTGCTTTCCACCCGGCTGCCATGGCTGATATAAGTTCTGCTACTCCTGATTCTTTGTGAAGTTCACACTACACAGAAACACAATAAATCAGCACAGGAAATAGTAAAATTATCCAACTGCAAAATAATTAAAAAAAAAAAAAGCGCCAACAAAGACATTTAAAACGAACCAATATGACTTGACTACAATTATAATGACCCATT